CTCTAGATTCTCCTTAGGTGTGAGTGAATGGTTGTATGTCCTGTTTGTCTCTGTGATGGACTGGCGACCTGTCCAGGGCATACCCCGCCTCTCACCTGTAGACAGCTGCAGATAGGCAACAGCACCGCTTGTGACCCCAATTGGGACAAGTGTGTCAGATAATGGATGGATGGAACAATACATGGACAATCCGTCTACACAAACCACTATATGAGTCTCATTCCTGCCTCCCAACTGTTGTAATGTCCAATACAGACAAGCATTTAGAAGGCCCCAAGCTAATCAGATTTAAATGCGTTTTTCTTGCAGATGCAAAAACACCAGCTGGTGATATCAAAGAGCTGACAGAGTTTGTGAAGGAAGTGATAAAACACAGCAGTTGTGGCTGGTGCACAGAAGTACTTTCAGCCTGTGATGGTCAATATTTACACAAACATCGTCATCAACAGATGGTTAGCTTGTTTTTATCCATTTTTAACTTCTTTAAAGGTTAATTCACTTGGTTTCTCGCTTAAAAATTAAACAAACGTTTGGTTTCTTTATGGTTTTAACTTTCTAATCTTCAGTTTCTCATTAACCAGCCCTTACTGCTTTGTGAAGATAGTACTTATTTGTGGCAAAGAAGACCTTGGTGTTAAGATAGAACTGGTTTACTGTCTTAAAACGGCTGCTTTGCAGGTGAAGACAGAAATAGCTGCTAAGTAAACATTGGTTTAACACTGGAAACATTCTAGTTGAAAATCAACCTGGCTAAATTTTCCAAAGTTAAGGTCAGAACCATACACTGGCTGATAAACTCACCAAAACAATTACAAAACAATTGTTTTAAGGCAACTATTTTAACTAAAATGATTCTAGAGTTGTTCACTGATGAACAGCTCTTGCTGTCCAACAGCAGCTAATAGTGTTAGGTAGAGAAATAATAGATCTCTACAGGTGAAAGGTTGCACATTTTGTGGTTACTATAAGTTTTGTATGAATAGGAATATAGCTGCACCATATCAATCATTGCAATAAAGGACTCAAACTTTGGTAAGACATTGTCTCTCATACCATGATACTACAACCAACAGCCTGAACTGTTGATTTCATTTGATATTTCATTTTTTCTTAGAAATTACTTTGTAATTTTGAGAATGTATGTGATGGATATCCAGATAGATCAACTGCTTGCGTTATACTCAGACCAGCCTGCCTTGAAATAACTATCTTCCCATCCCAGCACACCGTCTTCAGCAAATCTAGATGCATAAATGCATCAAATTCCTGATTTATTTTGTCCCATTTTTGTTATGAAGAATTTGAAAAACAGATACTATCAGTAAAATGTAGAACAGAATCTGCTAAAGCTTTCTTTTCAAGGGTTCTGAACCAAAGAGTTGCACATTTTTGTAAGGAGGCAATTTCTTTCTTATTTCTTGTTTAATAACATCTGCCTGTTTGAGTTGAGGCCAAAAAAACAAGGTCTGCCATGTTCTGTTTTTGAACCATTTCAAACATTTTGACACATTTTTTATATATAGATAACATAATTGAATAAAACAGTGGCTTTCAGCTTTAAAATGTTTTTTCCAGTTTGTTCATCTTTGTAAATAGATGCTAAAACCTGATTGTGTCGTGTTCACATTACCTCTGCAGAGAGCCATTCCTGTCACACTTTGTCCATCTTGGCTGATATTTATTGGGCTTTATGTTTAGCATTTGGTTGAGACGGCATCTTCTTCGCAGGCGGCTTTTGTCTAGCTGTCTGCTACAGGGTGAAACACGAGTTATCACAGTGCCAGATTGTCATTATTGAGCATTAAACTAGGCTGTGTGGCAAGAAAAACCTTCTAAAATGAGCAAATGAGGATAAGAAAGACTTCAGGACATGCTTTTATTACATCAAGACCGTATTAAGATCCTCCATTTACATCCTTGTTGCTGCTGTTTGCTGCCATTCAACACCATTGATTGCAATGAATCTCCCCGAGATTGAAACCTTTAACCTCCAGCTGTAGATTAGAGTCATTTAATACCGATCATGCTGATCTCATGTAACCTCACACAAAGCAGTGGTTGGGTTTCTGTCAGTAAAAAAAAACCTAAACTGATCCCTTATTCCCATGCATATGTCACACAGCGGTGTTGCTCAGATGATGAATGTGAATTCAGAGTGCCTGTTTGTTAATGAGGTTTCCACCGTGCCACATTAAGGCAGCCGCAGTGGGAAGTGCAGCTGTGTTGTGTCTCCTAAGCTCTGACAGGGCTGTAATCTGTGGGACTAACAATATCAGACATCCTGTGAAGACGTGTTAGCGTTCGCTGCGTTTGAAGTGCGGAGCAGCCGGTCGCAGGCCTCAACACTTCACATTCTACACGATGAGAAAAAGGAAAAAACATCGGGTTTAGATTTGTTTTGCTAAATTATCAATAGCTTGTTCCTTTGTATTATTATCCGTGGAGGAGAAATTGTATTAATCCTGGTGCTCAGTGATGCGAGAAGTTATTACACTTTTAACTGTGTCATTTCTTTTAGTAATCTAAGCTCCTTAAGGTGGCGATGATTCTCTTCCTCTTATCTTTTCTGGTTGTGAATAAATGTTAGGAATTATTATTACAGCTGGCATTTTTGTCATGCCTCCTGCTTCAATGCAGGATTATGGGAAAACTGGAGTGGAGTGAGCTCACATCTTGATGTGTACAGTACAAACACCTCTTCAACATCCCAGATGTCATTGTTTTCTATAGCAGCACTACGTCGAAAAATAATAAGGCCTGTTTTTGCTTTGTTGTAATTCTCTGCAGAATTCATTCGTGCTCTTGGCACCATGGTGCTCCTTCCCTCTGCTCCGCTGGGAGGCCGTTGGTTGGATTGAACACTCTGCCTTACCTTTTTTTTCTCCTCTGCATTTTAAACACCCAATTTATTCCTTTCATGAGGTGGATCTTGTAGATTGAGTCATTTTCACAGTCGGGAGGCTCACTGTAGGACTGAGATGAAATGAACTCCCAAATCAATTTCAAATGGGAACAGTGAGCAAGCACCACCCCTGCATAGCTGGAATTGGTTTTGTTATTAAAATGAAACAAAGTGTTTGTTGTTTTTTGATCTTTTCTGTCTTATTGCAGATTACAGCTTTGTTCTCTTTACATGCTGAGATTTCCACAGACTCACGCTGGTGTGATCTAGGTTCATTTCAGAGTCTTTTCTCTACCCCGTCAGATTTTCCATAAAAGCATCAATCTGAAAGGCGGCAGTAATTTCCTCTTGATGATTTATTGTTTTGTTTTTTAAACGAGGCTTTTTTCCCCCCTTGCCTTTTGACAACAGGAGTTAAGCAGCTAGAAATAATAAGCCCATATAATAGTGTTTAAAATCAATTTTAGTTTGTTCTGTGTGCTTTCCTGCATGTTTCAATCATCAAAAACCTTAAAAATTGCTTTTTATCTTTCAGTTCGAAACAGCATAATTAAACTAGGGAAAGACTGTTTTTTTGTTGTTTTTTTTTTTTTTTTTTTTAGAAATTCCTAATTAAAATGTTCTGTTTTATTAAATATTCAGTTTTCATTATTTCTTAGAAGGCTGTGAAGTTTAAATACTTAAATTGTCAGCAAAGAACAGAATCTAAACTCCACCTGTTGTCCTTTTTAATGTCATTAAGATTGATCTGATGGAATAAGCTATTCTTAAATTTTGTTTTCATTAGCTTTAAGTTGTAAAGCATCATAAATAACAAAAGTTATAGGCTTGAAAAAACACTGTGTATTTGATGTATTTATAGAAGTAGTTTAACTTATTGGTGGAGTATTGAATGTTCTCGATTTCATAAAGTAATTTGTTCCCAAAGTGATGTCTTCAAACAGCTGCGTTTGATTGGCAAATCTAGTGCACCAAATAGGCTGTTCTCCTTCTATCTTTTTGACCCATTAAAACAAATTATCTAGTTTTAAAGGGAAGCAACACATTCTCAAAAACTTTTAACAGTTTCTCCTCAGTAATGTTTCTTTCAGGACAGAAAGTAGAGCTACTTTTGTTGTTTATCACAAAAAAAAACACACAAAAAAAAACAGAATGAAGAACAGCACATCTCAATTAAAGAACTTCTGAGAAATGAAGAAACTAGTTTCTCTGAATCGCAGTTTAAAGATGAATCCAATATGACTGCCATGTGTTAACCACATGACAGCTGCTGTAATAGATTGCACTTCTGGCAGTTAATATCTTATTAAATCATCCCCACACTTTCATACATGTATAACCTCTCATATTGAGCATGTTTCTTTCATGCTTTTTATTCAAAAAATCCAGGAACATTAGAACTGGCATCTATTATTAACAGTAATAAGCCTTGTCATTCAATGCATCCTTATGGTTTTTATACAGTGCAACTCTAACATCATAAGGGAGGTTTCTAAATTAAACCTTCAGCCTTAGTGGGGGAAAAAACTAAACCTCCAGCTTTTGCTTTCCATTTTCTTACTGGAGATCGGTTTGAATTGTACTTCCCCTCTGAGGAGTATCTGTTTAAAGATCAATGTGCATAAATTAGGGATTGAAAAGGATCTTTTTGCCTGTCTGTGCGTTTTAGCTCAACAATATAGCTTATTTGGCCCCTCAATAATTGTAGATACCGAGGTTTCCTCTTGAGGCAGCACAAGAATCACCAGCTGTACTTGTGTGTTAAAAAAACGTGTTGTCCGTTTTTAAACAAAAACTGAGCACTTTGATTTTATTCAGTTCTGACTACTTGTTAAAAAAGGGAATTAGAAACATGTTTAGCAATAAATTATTCTCTCTACTTTAAAATTTTCGGCAAGTTAATTACTCAGTGTTAAAGTCTTAATTAATATAATTAATTTTGGTTTAAAATTATCCCAAAGGCCTGTTCCTGATTGAAGTTGGTTCATAGCTTTGCTTTATAGTGTGGGAGACGGGTAAGACTGCCAAAGGAAAGAAGAAGAGGTCTCCTCTCAGATCCATGTGTTCTAATCACCTTTTCTCTTTGCCTGTTTTCCAGGAGAGCCTGGCACCAGGATCTCTCGGTACCCGTCTCCTGCAGAGTTGGATGCTTTTGCTCAGAAAACCGCCAACAGCCCGCTCTCCATAAAAATCTTTCCATCTGACGTACGGGTGCCACAACACAAGCAGCTTAACAAAACTGTGAATGGCTTGGACACCACCGGACATCGTTACAGTCCCTACTGCCAGCCTAACTCAGGAGGCTACCAGGGCTTGTTGGCCATCGTCAAAGCCTCAGTGGCGGTCAAAGGTGTTGTGAAAAATTCTGAGGGCAGGAGGACTAAACATAATAACTCTCAGACGGCACCATATAACAATCCCCTGAATAATAGCTGCACAGTCAGACACGGGCATGAGGCCTATAACACGGGTTCATGTAAGCCCACAGATTTACCTGTTGAAGCACTTTGTTCTACTGCAGGAATGGCCTCCAAAGATCAGAGCCTGGCCTCCCAGCCGGAGCTGGCAGAGGTTCAAAGCCTGATGAGGCGGATGAGCAGAGTTCCCCACAGCCAGGTCCCGCAGCTGGGGGGGGTGGCTCAGTTCAGCCCCTCGCTGCAGGCTGTAGCTGCAGTGGCGCATTCAGGATCAGGCTTGGTCTTTGGAGTGCCGCCCCAGAGCAGCCGGGCCTTTCCAGGAGCAGTTCTACCTACACAGAATGCAGACGTGACCAAAACTGGATACTTTGAGAGGGAAGACTACACGATGTGGCAGCCCTATCGGCAGGAAGCGTTGAGGATGTACGGCATGAGTAATGGAACTCAGACCTGCAGAACAGCAGAGGCCGGGGTCGGGTCTCCTGAAACCTGCCTCCCTTTACCGGGCTCATCACAGCTGCCTTACAGGCAGAACCTTGGAAATGTTGGTGCTGTCGTGCAGAAAGAGCAGGCTATCAAACAGTACTTCGCTCCCCTCTGGGACAACCGGAGCAGCGATGTTTACTCCTCTCAGGTGTTGGGAACGACTACTTGTGCATCCAAGCCCAGACATGTGGAGGTGTCCCATCCTCATCTTCACCCAAACTGCCATCAACCAAACCAGCTCCATCCACCTGTCCCTCCCCATCATCCTAATCAACACTACCATCATCTTCATCATCAGGCTCAAGCCTACAGCGCAGAGCAAAACCTCTCCTGTGGGCTACCGGCTTTCAGCCTGTGCCACACTGCAGTGCTCAGCAGCAGCCTGCAGTCTCTGGAGTGCCTCATCAGTGAGATTCAGCCTCCCTGCATCAAAGAGCGCATGCTGGGCCACGGGTACGAAGCCATGGTGGGGATGCCTCAACTGCTGGAGCATCAACAGGACATGCAGCTCCCCGTCTACATATAAAGGGGTGCTCTGGAACATTCAATAAATACGCAAGCCTTTTTAGTTGTGCATGTATTTGTAGAAGGCTGTGTGTTTCACAGATGCAGGTTTACTCTACAGATTCTTCTATTTTTGGCTTCCGTTGATTTAACAATAAAGCTTCACATTTTGTATTTGCCTTTACAAATACTAGAAAAGCAATCTGAGAGCGTAGAGTCCCGCCAATCACCTAATTTTGCTCCATATTGTAACCTACACCTATGGCTAAACCTCACAAATGATCTGGATCATTACCAAACGTACCGCTCTCACCTTTTTCATTCCCTCTGCTTTCTTGTTTGATCAGTAGACTGAGAGTTTAACTTTGAGACTTTGAGCCTTTCCTGTGTTTCCGTCTTCAATATAATTCTGGACTTTTTTGAGTCTGATGTTGAAGCTGTCAATGGTCACTGCTGCCACCCTCTGGTTTAGGGAGGAACTGCTTGTTCTGCTAAATAACGTTAAAGAATCCATCTGGATTATGATGTGGATCATCATCAAAATTTAATGGATTGTTACTTGGACTGAGGTGTAAGAATTTAGTTAAAGTTCATACATAACTTTAAGTTATCCTATATACACAGACGGACAGAGAAAAAAACTTGACTAAAAACATAACCTCCTTGGCAGAGGTAATAATTAGGGGCACCGATTTGAAAAAGGAAGTAATTCCAGGATCTCTCACTGTTTTGTCAGAATATTTTATGTTTTTAACTTGTTAAAAGTTGTCATTATTTTTTGGGGGAAACTGCTCTGCCCTGCCATCAAACCCTCTGAAGTAATCAAGTGTTTTTTCACTATGAAAACGGCTAGCAATGCTTTCATGGAGAAATGTTGCTTAAAAGCATTGTATGTTTTTTTTTTTTTTTTTTTTTTTTTGAGCAACAAATGTTTTGCCTCTTTTATGTTTTATGGAAATGTGTTATTTCAATCAGCAATGTTGAATTCAGGCTCAGACAGATGCACCCTTTGGAGGGATTTTTTAAAAACTGATTTAAAAGCAAATCTTTGGAATGAACATTTTTCTTTCTCCTTAAGACCATACGACTGTTTCCCATGCAGAACCGTTTGACTGTAGGCTGCCTGAATCATTTCCCGTTTTCTTCTTTGCAGGGCTATAATATCTCCAATGGCTTAAAATGTATGAGTGAGAAGTATTTCATCTGTCTGCAACAGTTTTGTGAGACTATTTATTTCTGTCCACTTGGTGGGTTATGGCAAACTGTCTTTATAAATATAAAGTGCAATTACTATATATGGACATGTGAGTTATCTTCATGAATTATGTTGATGAAATAACTACTTTTTGAAATGTATCACCCTAATCAAACACCCTTTTTGTCTCTTCTTAATGAGGATTGTCAAGTAAATAAATTTTTAAAAACCCTAACAGGTTATTATGTCATGTAGATGTATGTCATGCTTACAGTCCTATTTAGGTTTAAAAACCTGTGGATTTAAAGCTTAACCACTGAGCATTATCCATTTCATGTTTTATAAACAATATATTGGGTAAAGAATCCCAAATCTAAAAATTTTATGCAATTGAATAGCTACCCAAAGCACTTAACAGCTGTTCTGTTAAATTCTGACCCACGGTCAAAGCTGAAGGCATCATAGGACAGCAAATAATTACTGCTCTATTAATTTTAAGGTATAAAAAATGTTTCTTTCAAATATTAGATATTAAACTTGTTTTTAAAACTGAATAAATATAATCACAAGTGGGGGAAAAAATGTATTTCATGATCAAGTTACATAAAACGTTTGCAACAATAACAATGGGTTTAAAAAAAAAAATAAGTTATTGCACCACTCAAAAGAACTTAAACACAATGAGCAGCAATTACCCTTTTGTAAGTGTTCTTTTTAAGTGGATTTTAATCCATAATAAAATGGCATTGCACTCTACTCTGGAAGATAAGGCGGTGTCTTCTATTGAAGTACCTGGATCCGGTCCTTTAGAGCTACAATCCTGCAACCTTTAGATGCATCTCTATTCTAACCCTGTTGAATTTACATTTCCTTTTGCTCAGCAGAAGCCTGGTACCAACCTGAATCAGACGTGTCTAAGATCTTACAGGCCTCTAAGATCTTACCAAACGTCCTCATCGTATCTGTCCAATGGCTTTATGGCAAATAAGCAGAATCATGTCTCTAAAGAATAATGGAGGTCAACAATTCCGTCCACCTGCCTTTGTTCAAGTAACAAGCAGCTGTACAATGCACCACAGCATTGGTGTCCAAGTGGAGCGGCGGGTCAAGTTTCACCATTGGATAAACTAAAGGTTACTGAGAAGTAAAAAAATATCTGAGACCACATTTCACAAAAAAAAAAAAATGTTTAAAAAAAAGTGGAAATTTCCTTTGAAACATTCATTCCCCTTTAAGGAACCTGTTTCCCTCTTCATCCAAAGCAACAACTTCACAGCTTAAGGGAAAGATCAGTAAATGGGATTCCGATATGTCGAGTAGATCCTCAGGACATTTGTCCTCTCCAGAAAAAAAAAAAGGCCAAGAATCGCTGGTGGATGCAAGCGTTTTAACCCATCTCTGAAATCACTCATCTTTTCCTGTTCTGTGTGTTTTTGAACTGAACAATGATTCCTAATCGGATATCTCCTTCCCACAGAACCTTGTAATCAGCCTGATAACCATAACCCATCAAACCAAAGCCCCAATCTCCTAGTTTCTAGCAGCCATCAAAAACTCACCAGTATCTTAGTTTTCCACATCATTCACTTCCCTGTTGCTGCCTTTGCTTAGTTACACAAATAACTGATTAGGTTAATCATCGCTGTGTTTTCACTTTCAATCAGTCCGTACACTTTCTTCAGTGCGGAAAAAAATCAGGTCGACCTTCATCACAACATTTTATAAATAGTTTAATAAGGCATACAAGTAGAGTCCATTAGGAACTGTAAAGATTCTCCAAGCCTTCAGGATTAAGGCGGCCTCCAGGGATTTAGAGAGCATCCAATCAATTAGGACCATGTACATGTACCATCATGACATGAGAATCAACTAAGGTGATGATGGCCACAAGAAGAATCAGGAGCCACTAGAACTCTCAGAACCATGAACTGTTCTGTAGGCCACTAATTTACCACTTAGGTTCTTAAATTATATATATTCATACACATAAACACACACATACAGACATATATATATGTACACACACACACATATAGACATATATATATATATATATATATATATATACACACAGACATACACACATATATCTATATATATATACACACACACACACACACATATATATATATACATACATTTGCCATGTATGGATGTGCTTAAAAGTCTGAAGTAGCTAAAAATTTAAAAAAGTTAAAAAGAAGTTTAGTTAGAAGTTAGAAATGCAAACATAGAACTGAAAAGCCCAGATGCTACACTTCAAAATTTGACTCAATTCTGTAATAAGTTAATAACCTTAGTGAGGCTGTAAAAACATAATCACAAATATTGAATAGTAAATACTTTTAGAGTCGCTATCCAGTAATTCAACCGTTCAAAGTATCTACATAAGATCCACAGGAATAAAAAGAAACCTTCCAAGCTCAAGGAAATGGAGGCTATTACATACGCTTTCTGAAAAACTAGAGGTAAACTAAAAGGATTTTTTCTTGCAAACATTTTTTCTGTCAGCAGTCTACATACAGGTCTAACTGTAACCCCTGCAAATGGTTTGCAAAGCATTTTAAAAATGTATCCCATCATACACGCTTTGTGGATAAAATGGATATGTAAAACTTTTAAATGATTATATTTTACACCCAATTTATTTCATCTGTCTTCCTAGACAGCACGCTGCAACACTGATGCTACTCGCTCATCTTGAAAATAAAATCCAATGACATTTTAAGTACTAAACCCAAAATATGGGGGCATTATAGCACTAAGAGGAAATACTACAAGAATGCATGCTCAACTTATCTCCGACAACAAATATCTTTAAAGCCAACTCTCACTGGAGCCTCATTAAATGAATTTGCAGTGGCCAGTTTGTGGTGCCCCAGCTTTGCTTGAAGTTTTTCCATTCTGTTGTGCAAGGCTGCTGATAAACCAGACATGCTCCTCTTACTCAGAGGCGATTAGCTCTGGCTCCTGTGGGAGAGGAACCAGAGGCTCCCAGACCTCTGGAACACACTTCAGATAAATAAAGAGTGGGCCAGAGAAGAGCTTGGCTTGTTAAGAGGATTAGGATGAATGAAGAATACTGATTTTACTTCACTAAAATTAAATCCATCTACTTTTTTTTTTTTTTGCAAGCATCATCAAAATAGCAAAGATATGTTCTCTTGAAATATGCAAACGTGAAAGAGGTCAGATGGGGAGTTTAATAAAAGGACTAGAGAAACATCAGGAACTTGCTGCCATCTAGTGGAGGACTCTTAAACTACAAGATAGAAATTATCCATTTAGCTTCTAGACTTTATCCTTTGGGTGTTTGTTCATAAAATATTTATCTAATTGGTTCTAAAATGTGTGAGAAATGACAGGCTGTCTTAGATCAGAAATGTTGGCAACGGAAAGAAAAACTGCCAAACGGATTCAACATCTTCATAGGTGAAATGTAACAGGGTTTTAATGTAACTGAATTACAGAATCAGACGTTTATCAAGCCAAAAAATAAATAGTGGAAAATAGTCCTGTCATCTTTAATGTGATGCTTCTTTGAAGTCACTGTTTTTGGTTATAGTAGAAGAAAGTTAAAGGCACACGGTGATCTTATAAATAAAGCAGCAAAAACAAACAATTACAAAATCCGACAGAGAGCAGCAGTTAAACCTGCAACAAAGCACTTTCCTACACATTCTACTTTTCATTTCAAGGCATAAGCATTTTTATAAGATCAAATATACATAAAATATATCGATTAAGGCATAATCAGTAATAAATAGAACAAAAAACCCAAAACATCCCTATTTTAAGAACCTCTGAGAGCTTGAATTTAGCTCCACCATCAGTCATCCTGAACCTCTGGTCTAGGTTTATCCTCCTACATCAAACGGTGTAGTCCAGCTCTGCGTTTAGATTTGTGTACATCTCGTAGATGGCATCTATAGTGGCCGTGTAGTTAACCAGGAAGGTACGCAGGTTTGCCATACAGTCCTCTTCTTTTACTTCTTCTCCCTTTGAAAGGGCCTTAAGAAAGTCTGATCTGTAGGGAGATGCGTATAGTGCTGCCTGAAGGACAGACAGAAACAGAGGGAGAGTCATCAGTTAACGTATGGATGTCTAGTCAAATGCCATTACAGTTTGCGTAGCAATATAATCCTCCAAAAAAAAAAAAAAAACACTGCTCCTTTCTACATTGTACTACGAGTTAAATAACACATCCCTGAATTCAAAACATGGTCCTTTAATCCCAGTCTCCTGCAACATTTAGATCTGTGCCTGGCTCAACACGCCTGTATCAATCAATGTAACTAAGCCAGTCTTAAAGGTATAGAGGACGATCTTTTATTTCCAGGTGGATCATCTAAATAAGTGCTCCTCCTAATTGTCAATCATTCTGGTGATATGTTTAGGTAAGGCCGCCCTACATGCTTGTCCCCGATGGCTATCTTTTTGTTTGGACACAGTAAAGCTTGTATGAGGTATGAGAACAACAACTTTTAAACAGCGTGCACGAGGAGATATGTATGGAAGAGGATTAGGGCCACTGAAAAAAAAAAAAAGTTAACTGATTTTTAAATTTTATTTCAATTTAATATGGGGAAAAAAGTCAGAATTCTGAGTTTAATCTCAGAATTCTGAGATTAAAGTCAGAATTCTGACTTTTTTCCTATGTTAAACTACCGTAAAATAAAATGTAAAAATCAGTTAACATTTTTTTTTCAGCGTCCCTAATCCTCTTCCGTAGATATGGGATTGTGCATGTGCATTTTTTAAAGTGGTCTTTTTAAAAATGTTAGAAAATCGTCCACAATACCTTTAAATTACATATGAGAAGGTTTAGCCCTTGAATTCTAATATATAGGATCTGTGACACCCAAACATCACAGGATCAGAGTCTGAAGGCTGTGCCATATCCTTTTATATTTATTAAAACCTTGTTCAAATATACTACTCTTTCACACACTGCATAAAACCCTATGATTTGCTATTAATTTCTAATTAATGCTGACAGCAAAAAAAAACAAAAAAAAAACCTCCTAATCTCAATGAGGTCAACTGTTACTTACCTTAAAAATTTTCTGAACCACCCAGCTGTGGTATCTTATCAGAGTCTGCTCATAGGCTTTGGTGACATTGATCCGGATAAGGTTCTGGTTGTTCTCATCTCTGTCTCCATCGGCCAAACTCTGCAGCAGAACCTGTATGAAACGGAGACCCCTGCAGGAGGAGAAGGGAGAAAACAGAAATCTGCTGATGCTGCTTCTTCCTTGAAAGAGGTTAAAATCCAACATGTAGAGCATTGGAGTGTTTATATCTCTCGTCACATTAGATCAAAAAAATTAAACATATTTTGTTGGATAAGTAGAGCTTAACTTAAAGTCTTAAAAAAACGACTCATGGTTTGCTTTTTTTTTTTTTTTTTTAAACCACAAAATCTTAAAGTATGACATGCATTTATCTTCAGCACTATGGAGTCACTCGTTTTGAACATAAAATGATGGTGCAAGTCTGTTGATGCATCTCTCAAAGTACAGCCAACTCCTTTAGGGCTAAACATGGCTCAAGGTCAAACTGATTGGGCGAGGTCATCTAAACTAGGGATGCACGATATTGAGATTTTGGCCGATATCCGATATGCCGATATTTTAAAACTCATGTAGCCGATAACCGATACCGATGTTAAAGCTGGACAAAAATAAGTAGTCATTGAAAATAGCAGTTTTGTTATCAATTTCTGACACTTTGAAAAATAATATACTCAAATATATTTTCATATGCTGATATCAAATAGATTTTTAAAAACTCGGTATCGATCTATTTTACTTTCAAAATCTCGTGAAATTTCATCGTTCTGTTACAAACTCTCGTGATACTTTGCAAATTCTTGTGAGATTTTGTTAGTAAAATAGATTGATACCGTGTCAATATATCAACATATAAAAATATGGCAAAATTTCGTAATTTTCGGGGGATTTCGTAGCATAACGATGACATATGGCAATATTTCATTAGTAAAAGAGATTGATATGGTGTTTTTAAATGGCAATATATCAGCATATGAAGATACTGTGATATTTGAATGTATCAATATTTTTTCCCTCGTCTTTAGAGGTTTTTAAGTCTGTAAAAAAGAAGTTTTTGAGGAAGAAGAAGAAGTAGTATTTTTTTTTAGACTTTAGAAACTCAGAAGCTGATCAAATATCGGGTTAAATATCGGTGGGGTGGCTGATGTCCGATATTCAGTTTTAAGGCGATACCGATATGGGGCCGATTATATCGTGCATCCCTAATCTAAACGTCGATTCTATGTGACAAATGACTTACACCACTTCCCTGCTGGGTTAAAGCATGATCCTGCCTCCATAACTTCTCGTGGATGGCATGGTGCATTTTGAGTTTTTTAAAGCCGCATTTATGTGCAAAATTTCAGTTTTGATCTCTTATGACCAGTAAACAAACTTTTATATGTTTGTTTTGTCTTTGCGTGGCTCATGAAAATCTTTTAATGAAGCCTGTTATTCATTTAGCTAGACTTGAAAGAGAATAAATGAAACACAGATGGCCTTCATAACGGAGCACTGCATTGAATTTTACTTATGTGTATATATATATATATATATATATATATATATATATATATACACACACATACACACACACACACACACACACACACACACACACACACACACACACATTCCAGGACATTACAACTTCTTTCTATCTTATGCTTTTTTTTGTACTTTTTTTCTCTCATGGCACCTTGTTTTAACATTTTGTACTCTATGTGAGCTACTAGAATCAGAAAAGGAGAAATTCCCAGGGATAAATAAAGTTGAGTCTAAAACTAAGTCTAAGTTTATTACAATGTGAACCCGATTGAAGGGCCAGGGAGAAGCTCACCTCTTGAGCCACATCAGAGCCAATGTTGCTCCAACTTTAGGCCATTCTTTGTGGGCTTCTCGCTCTGCTTCTAGGATATTCTGCAAGGTGGCGTACTTTGCAGGATCCTGAACATAAACTGCTTTTATTTTCTAAGGAGAAAAGTAAAGCAAACATTTGATCCAAGTCTGCACAAAAGGAGCAGCAACAGTATGCCATATTTATAAGTAAACAGAAGTATAAATTGATAGGTGAAACAGAAAATAGATCCATCTCACTGTTATGTTTCCATTGAGGTCCTTCTTGATGATTGAAAACACGCTTGATCCGAAGCAGTCTGCAAGAGAAACAGACATCTGAGAGCGCAGCAATAAAATATGAATGACTTCATGGCGCATGTGCTGAGAAGGAACAGTGGTGTTCATGGACAAACGCAGAGAATGGACTGTTTCACTAAAGAGGTCAATGTGCGCTCTGTTCAGCCTGTAAACAAGGAATAAAAGCACCGCTGCAGATCCAGCCTCTCTTTACCGACTGCTCTTTTGTTGCGCAAAAAAAAAAAAAAAAAAAAAAAAAACATTTTTCCCTATAAGATTACATCGATATAACCCTCAACAAAAACAAGTGACCGAAAGAACAGAAGAGGAACTGGTTTATCCTGCATATGAGGCGAGGCACAGAAAACAAAACAGAAAAAAAAGTCACCTGATGTGTTTCTTAGTTAATCAGGTGGAGCTTAACTCACCGAAAAACGAAGGCAGGCTGGAAACATTGTCCAAGAAGGTCTTGGTGTCCACAGACTTGTCTTCAGGAAGTTCTTTAAATTGATTGTCCAATAAAAGAGACATGGTGCCGACCTGTGACTAAAGCTGCAGGAGACAAGAGGAAAAACCCGGAACTGTTTGCTTGTCAGATGGGTGTGGAAGAAACGCTGCCAGCCCCCATCATCATCATCATCATCATCGCGTGTTTTCTACAGGTGGCAAATATAGACGAGGAAATGATGTGATCTTTATGGTTTATTATTCACATCAGATGCGGTTTGATTTCAACTAGAAGAAACGGGAAGCTTTAATTGACAGACCTGCAGCCAGAATGACTGGAATAGGCTTAACCAGTCTATGTAGAGTTAAAAATAAAGTGAATTTTGTGGTACAAACATAATGTAAACCGATGTATTTTGTTAGTTTGGTTTTCTAATGGTACGGATTAGGGCCACAGGAAAAAAAAAAAAGTTAGGTCAGAATCAGAATTCGGACTATAATCTCAGAATTCAGACTTTTTTCCTCAGAATTTAGACTTTTTTCTCAGAATTTACTTTTTTCTGAGAATTCAGACTTTAATCTCAGAATTCTGACTTTGGTGATATCCTTCTTTAAGAAGCTTCTTTATACGCTTGATTTTCATATAAATATACATTTGCATGCAATAAATGATTACATTAGAATTTTCCCTAATACTACTTGTAATATATATTCTTAATTTTATCGACCAATGTTACCCACATTTCCTGAGCTAAGTTTCTATCTCAAACTCCTTTATATAATGTTTAAAAAGAAAAAAAAAAGTACCTAGGTGGATATACAATCACGGATAAGATCGCAGAAAACGACTCTGATATAACCTTTGGTGAAATTATTTGGAAGGAAGTAATAATTGTTTGTGATTGGCTGAATCATCTCATTCCCAATATTTAACTTCGATCAGCTTAGTTTAAACCTCTATTTTTTTCCAATGTTATTATTTTTTTTTTTTAAATCAGACACAAACTACTGCAAATCATTACCACTGTTCAGATTCTGCACATTTCCTGAAGATTTTTATTCAGTGAGCGAATAACATCCTATTGTATTGCTAAAAAAAATCTAACGTTTTTATTTTTAGCAACACTTTTTTTCCCCCATCCTCTCACCTCACTGAACTCCTCAGCAAGCTGCAAGGAAATCAGCAGTAGTTTAAATGAACACTCAATCAGTAGATTAAGGGTTCAGGGCTGGAACTTTCTGGAGGATAAATATTCAGGGGAGTATAATAAAAATGCAACATGAATAATTATACCCAACCTTAGTTGGTTAAACATTAATAATTCATAACAGATTGTCAGTTAATAATGCTCTGGGGAAATGTTGGCACAAAGTTTCTCCAATCCCATAAGACTGATGACTTTTGAACTACAATTAATCATGTTGTTCTTAGTAACACAATTACAGTCCACGAAAGATAATGTAGGCTGCATGTTTTGCATTGAAAAAAGTCTAATCTAAACATGAGTAACTTCAAATCAAAGAGATTTTCTTTCCACATCCATGTCAGCTCATCTCACTACTACAACGGTAGTATTGGCCCAGGATAGAGAATTTTTTTTCCTTCTATTTCGAGAATAAAGTTGTAATACTATGAGAAATAAGATGTAATATTATGAGAATAAAGTCGTAATATTACAAAAAAAAAAGTTGTAACATTACCAGAATGAAGTCGTAACATTACCAGAATAAAGTTATGAGATGTTGTAATATTTCCTTATTTGTCTGATGCCAAAGTATACCTTCACATGATGCTCAAAATTCCTCCTTTTAGGGAAGAAAGCGCTTCTCAGAACTTTACAACTTTATTCTTGAAATATAAGAAAAAAAACTCTAGCCCGGCCCTAATACTCCGTCGTTCACTGCAATTGGAAAAACATAAAAAAAAAAAAAAAAAGGTACACAGAGAGCATGGTTATTTTATTGTGGGCTGTCAGCCATTTAACAGCAGTATGCATTTGACCACAGGAAGCGTGTAAAACACTGGAGTTACAGCACCACAGCAAATACACCGAGACCACAAGTTATCAATAACTAGCTGCTAGTAGGGATTCCCCCAAAGAGCAGAACAAAGTTTGGCTGTGTTAAACAAAAGCTTATGAAAATAAACACTGATATTTGTTTAGAGGTATGACATACATTTTTAAATAGAATAGCATTTGGATTAATCTGATAAAGAATTACATGGATACATACATCTTACCTATTTGCATAATGCTATTAGAAATGATTCAAGGTGGATTTCATACATCTTGTCACTGAGGCCGCGTTTATCAGCAACTTTGCCTCCACACATCCATTCACACACACATATAAGAATAGCTGTAACATTGCAACTCCAATAACTATTGATACTTTACCCAAAGAAAACATGTCCACCCAGATAAGAGACTGAGGGCTAAATCATCTGCTGGATGGATTAAAAGTGTGCTGGTCTGAAACATGCACTCAAGGCGTTGGCGTCTTCGTCACAGTCGGCTTTCTAATTAAGTGTACACTTTTAAGCGGGCAACATCACAAATATTTGAGATAACAATACAACCAGTGCTTCCTACAAGAGTTAGTAGAAAAATAGACCATTGCCACAGGAGTAAATGGGGGGTTATCAGTTGTGATCCTTGGTGTTTAGCCTCGTTTCAGCCATGCCAGAAAGCAGACATCAAGAAGCACAACAGATGTCCACTACAGTACTGATAGAAAAGACAACACACACACAAGATGAAAAAGAAAGAAAAAAAAACTCTTTAGAACTGCTTGTTCTGATTCGGCTCCATATAAGCACATAGCATTGCACTTCTGGAGTCAGAGTGATGTAACTCTGCGAGGTAAAGATGTCTTTTCTTAAACGCATGGCACAAAGACATTTAGTTCATCTGTTTATTAATTCATGATTCTGCATCCTTTGGTAAGATATCCCCGACCCAAGGAATGTGTGTGAATGCTTATTACTATTGAAACAGAAATATAACACTGATTAAAAGGAAAGCCTAGCAATGCAACAGATAGACTGTGTATTGAGTGCTTGAGAAAGGTCTTTGGATTATAGTTAGTTGTTGTTTTCTTTGGTTGTCACAGTAACGAGTTGCTTGGCAGCTTTGGCAATGTCATAGGCACACTGAATGACCTGCTGAGTGACCAGCTGGATGTCCGACGCGCAGGGATTGTGGCCTGCCGCCTTCTGGCATTCTCCATGAAGCCGGCTTGCACTTGAAGTCAGCAGATACAGAGAATTTCTAACGGTCTCCGAGGACGGCCTCTGTGGAAAGATGAATATAAATCCTCTGGAAGCAAAAGGGAATATTTAAAATCTGTCAACAAATATGCTGATGGTTCCAGAAATGAATACCTTGGGAAACAGAGCAGCCATCTCGGTCACAGCTGAGCGGATCTTCTCAGAACACGGCAGAAAGCTGTAAGAGAGATGTTAAAAGCTACAGGATGCTTTACTAAGCAAAGAGAGATTAACCATTTTTTTTGCTCTTTTCTTTTTCTTTTCTTTACACATTAATCCCAAATTAACTAAAACAAATACTTAATATAAACTTTTTTTCAAAGCAGGGACAGCCAGTAATATTGAAATGTTTTCACAACTCTGTCAAAAGGACACCAAGTCATTCAAAATGCCCCATTTATGACAATATTCAATTATGAAACATAAATTAATATCACAATATATAACTATTATGATTACCATTTATTTTAAATGTCTCTTTTTTCCTTTTATAATATCACAAAATCCCTACTGTGTTCGATAAGCCCTATAATCTAAATCACCAGAACAAAGTTATCATGTGGAGTTAAGTTGGAGTTTGTTCAACAGGCCAAATGTATAACACAGTGTTCAGCAGGGAGACAGCTGAAAAATGTGTTTGAAACAATGTTGAATCCAATTAGCCTTTTGGAGTTGGACTTAACAGTGCAGTATTCATGTAATCATGATTCCACAAGGTCTGGTTTATTTGTTCCCTCCTTGTTTCGGTTATTTTCATTTTAAATCAGTGTTTTTCCAGTAAAACCTGTTACTCTATCAATTGATATCAGGTGTGTGAAAGCTGGGACACATTCAAGACATAAATGGCAGTGTGCCTTGAGGACCAGGGTTGAAAAACACTGCTCTGAAATATATGCAAAGAAACTATGTTTGGCACATTTCATTTATTCCTTCCTCTTGTACTGAAAATCAAGATGCGAGTGGGTGCACTCTCAGCAGGAATGGAGACATAATCGTTCATGGGATCAAAATGACAGATTAATTGTTTGGCGTTTCCATTTCCTTGAGCTTCACTTTAAAGTTTTTCTTAAAAAAAAAAAAATAATAATAATAATAATAATAATAATAATAATAATAATAATAATAAATATATATATATATATATATATATATATATATATATATATATATATATATATATATATATATATATATATATATATATAAAAATCTAATTTGAACATGAAATACATTTCCACAACTTCTGTGGCATAACAATCAATCATTTACAAGACAACATAAAAGGGATTTAGCAGAGGCTACATGACAGTGATGATATATTGGGGGGAAAAAAAAAAATCTGAAATCTTCTATTATCATGATGGCCAAAGTAAATAGAAATCAAGAGTCTGCATGATCAGTGTGATCATGAAGGACTGTTTTCTGTCAGCTGCAGTAAATGCAGTCTTCTTTAAACACAGGGACCTCCAAGTGGCTAACAGACCCCAAACCACTAAATCCAGGTCTTTAGTAAGCTTCTGGTTTTCTTCATCATGTGACTGTGTTAACTTTGCAGCCTAGTCATATTTCAGTTAGCTGCCTAGCTTGAAAGAATGCGGTGCAGGTTAAACTTCTAACTTTTATATAACTTTTAAAAAAGGCCCAAACAGAGAAGCTCTTCATAAGTTCTTTCTTAAGAACCTCCATGTTTACAACAAACAACTGTAAACGAGTGGTTCCAGAGGCGTACCTTTCATGCTTGGTCTCCTGGGCAGCTCTCAGAAGTTCCTGAATGTTTTTTGTGATCTGCTCCGTCTTACAGATAACATCCTCGGTGCATGGCAGGGTGGCGTCTTCTTCACCTTCTGCTTCAGGTTCTGCCGATTCAGGAGC